CTGATAGAGGATAATAAGATTTTGAGAATTAAGGAGCACTAAGAATTGGAGACGTGACTGGACTTGTTGCTTGCAAGCAAACTATGTTTTCATTATGATGGTGGTGTTGTACTTACTTTGCACCAGCATCGAAGTCCATGCCTAACTCTTCTAATCACTTGATTCATTGCATGATGGTTAGTGACTCAAGGTGCTATCATATTTTAGTTAATTTATAACATTAAAGCCAAACTTAAAAATATTGAAAGTAATAAATACTCTATACTCAAGCTTGAATGAGGAGATTATTTCACAATGAGGGTTTTAGGTCTTACTTTATATGAAGGATCATCATTCCCAAATTCATTACAGACTGCACATTCAATGAGTAATATTTCTACACTTTATATATTGATGTCACATTTTGTAGAACTCTTTTAATTTTAAAAACAAACCACTAAAAAAACTTGCATAATATTTTTGCGCATCCAGTGGAGAAATTGGGCTGCATAGAACAAAGATCCCTAATTTTTTTTTTATAGAACCACTAGACTAGGAAAAATAGGAATGACAACCTTTAGTAAACTTAAAAGACTACAAAATTTGGAAGTTGGTTGTTTAAATCTATTAGAAGTACAAGGAGTTTTCCATACACAAAATAATCATCTAGAGTTCTGCTATTGTAGTGTAATGCAGAAAAAAATCATTTCAAGCTAGCTTTTTTTTTTTCTAGGCATTTCATATTGTAGGTCCTAAACAAAATGATTATCCCTCTTGGAAACAATTCATTGAATCTAGCTCACTAAAAAGAATAAATTCTCTGGCCTGATGAATTCTTCGAGGAAATGCCCCGTTCTATATGCTCTCCTGTTGTTTTCCCTTTTGATTTTCTCTTTACTAGTTTTTTTTTTCTCTAAACGATGAGCTAGATTGAACTTCCTCACGTGCATCTTGGTCCAATGTTTTGGAAAGAAAGGTGAAGGTGAAATTGGATTTCTGTGATCTATCTTTTGTGAGATAATTTGAGGATCAGTTTTTAAAATTTCATAAGGAACACAAATGCACTGTTATCCTATGCCAGTGAGTCAGCAGTGCTTGCCCGCAGGAATCTGCAACCTAACAAGCAACCTTTTTATTGTTAATTTGTTATCTTTCTTTTTTACCATCTTTATTCAAGAACTTGACAACTGGCAAGGTAATTGATACCTAGCCTTAGTTGGCTTCTTGGTAGGAAGAAAAATAAAACTAAGATAGGTCAACCTTCTTTCTTATCTATGCTACTTTTGAAGGGAAGTTAGCTCACCTTCCCTCATTTTCTCACCCAGGATAAAAGTAAGAAGTCTAGAGGAAAGAGACAGAGTTTTGTGATGATATTGAATTTTTCTATTAGGTTATCTATTTTAATGTATTATATTTCTTACGTAATTACCTATTTTTGCTTTAATAATGTTAGAATTAATACGAAAAAGACTGAAGTTTTTTTTAAATGCCCTCATGACCTAATGATTGGGTTAGGTATATAATTTGCTATCATCTTCTTGATTTAGATGTTTTCTCTCTATATTCCTTTTTTTCCTTGCGGTTTAATTAGAGAAGGGAATAATTTGCGAATCTTTATTTAAATCGAGTTTTAATTAACTTTTTAGTAATATTATTAGAAGATAGAGCAACACTTTGAAGTATTTAACTATCTTAGGTCTATCATATGTAAGAATAAAAATATAATTTCTGGTCATCTTTGGTTGGTTGAAATCAAATACCTTGAGACTATGCACTAAGAAATAATTAGGTCGATTTTGTTGTATGGATAAATGACCGAACAATAAAGATGTTTATGATGACTATGTCGAGCATAGTAGAAATACCAATGCTAAAGTTGAGGTGTGACAAAACTAGAAAGGATAGATTGAAAACTGATTATATTAGATGATAGTGGGAGAAGTATCCTTTGAAGTTAAGAGAGTGAAAAGTTAATTTTGTGGTTTGGGTAATCGCAATGATGGGTAGAAAATGCATCAATAAGACAAGTAATTATATTTTTAAAGAGGTTTAGATCAAAAGTAATATTGCTAGAAGTTGTGCAAAAAAAGATTTATGTAGAATAGGCATTACAGTTCTTGAAACTCTCAACAAGAACAAATGACCAATCTTAAATAGTTAAGATAAGGCTAATGATGATGGCGAGTTGGTATTGGACATTCTAATACATTGTAGATAAGCTTTTTATGTATTCAAATCTAACTGAGCTGATATGTTGATATGTTTAATATTCCATTTGTTTAGAAAGATGTATTTTCCATCAATGTTCAAATTTTGCTAAAGAAATGAGGTTGCTGGACCAAGATATCATTTTTTTCCTGATTTGCAGTGAAATTTGTCATGATTTTTTTGTCAAAGCTTTTAACACTTGATTATTTTTATCCTTTACTGTTTTTTAACTTGTAATATGCGTCATCTCAATTCATGTCATGTGGTAAGCGTTTCATAAATAGAATCATTATTATAAACTTCCCTTTTGCATCTTTGAGCTTAGGTTATTCTTGTATTGATGGCTTCTAAAAGTGAGCTATATGCCATCTTTGCTCTTGCTTTCAAAAAAACGTTGCAGGTTGGTATATAGAAGATGCTGTTGCAGATCACTTAAGCTTTCAAATGAGGTACCAAAGATAACGAAAAGGTTGAGCAAACTGAACATTTTGTGCAAAGAAGCTGATCTGTCTCATATTATATGGTGGAAAGAAGTGCGTTTATTATTAATTATTGCGAGTATAATATTCATAACTCTTTTATTTCTCCTTATGTTGCATTTCTTTTTTGTCTTATCCAGAAGTTGCAATTTTTTAGGAAGCCTTCTTCTCTTCAGCTTGTTAAAAGGCTTGCATATACAAACTTATTAGGGCTGGATGTTGCCCTGAAAAATGGGAGGTATGGTTGAAGTTTTGCTTTCAAAGTTTCATTCTACTTCTAATATATATCTTTGTTGCTGCTATTGCACTGTACTTTTTCTTGAGCAAACCTTTCTTAAACGCTGTCCTCAATATTCACGTTCTATTCCTTTACACCCTTGTACTCTTTGAAGTGATAAAATTTTTTAGTTGAGGATGTCTATTTCAAAATGCATTTATTTATTCAGTTCTCACTGTAGCATTTCTGTTATAGTAGCTTTGGCAGAATCAATTAGGTTGTCTTAGAGCATTTTAGAGTGTAACAACTGCTACAGTGGTCCAATGTGCTGTACCTATAGGTTCTTCAATTAGAACTTTTAGCCATTGAAATATAGTTATTTTGACATGGAAACATCATAATGACTACAAAAATATAATTGTTTGAGCATTTAAGCCGAAGTGAAAATATGAAAGAAACTGATGCACTGAAAATACTCAATGTGCCTTCCTTTTTGGTAAATTTTTAATATGCTATCGTGAAATACCACAATGGAAGGTAAAAGTTATTACTTATTCATGCACGCAAGTAACAGGAAATTTAGGGTTTACAGCTAACTTCCATAAAAATAAATCGTCAAACATGTCAAGTGTAAGTGATATATTACTGGAAAGCTTAGTTTTGAAGCTTTTGAGCGGGGAGATAATTTTTATTTATGGTACTCTTAGTTGTGATGCAATTTTTGAAATTTTTACTTGCTGAGAGTTAGCCTATTGCTGGTGAGCCGCTACATTGCAACTGCAATTCCTTACCATTTAAAAACTTTTCATAAGTTGTGATGATTAACTATTAATACAGTTTATACTTGGCCTGTTTTGCTTATGCTTGGTGCTCAGCGGCAAAGGTCACCTCAGAAATATAAGCAGCTGTGGGTACTACCATATTTTCCTGTGATGTAATTTTACCTGACAGTGCTCATAAATTGACATGAAAAACACTTGAATAATCTAATGCTATGATTGTAGTAACATTCATCACTTTGCTGAATCACAGATAACATGCCTTTCGAGTCAATATTCTACAATATGTTTTGGTTGAAATAATTTAGAACATTTCTCCATTGAGATTTGACACTAACTATTTCATCCTGGCCTGAGTTCTATAGTTTTTATTTCATGGTGCTTTTGTTTTAGAATCCAAAATATTATATTGGATTCTATTATATTAGATTATTTTCCGTCGTTATCATTTCATTTGGTGCACTGATCTGTTATGTTACCACTTATTGGCTTACTTTAGCTTATTCTTTTTCTCTTCTATATCATTTTATTAGAATTAGTGTACTACCTAATTGATGCTTCTATTATTTACTCTATTATTATTATTATTATTTTCTTGATGCAGCCTGAAAGAAGGGACTCTCAACTTGGAAATATTGCAGTTCAAGTCAAAATTTCCTCGGGAAGTTTTACTTTGCAGAGTATATCACTAAAACTTTTTGCGCTTACATGTTAACATCACTTAACTAATATGTTTTTCTTTTGCCAAGTTTGTTCTATTTAAGTAGTTTTTTTCAATATGTCAGGAATATGAAAGTTGTTTTTTTTTGGGAAATTCATGAATCTGATTTGGTACTGATGACCGGATCTAATGACTACAGAACTTCAAAGGAAATAGCGCATATATGAAGAGTTCATTATTTTTGAGCCCTTGATGTTGGGTTTGTCCTGTACAAGTCCACAATTTCTTAAACGTTTCTGCTATGCTTTTGTTTGATTCTTAATTTTGTCAAGCACCTTATTATAAGAAGCTCCACGAACTATGGTTTTATACTTTTTGTTAGATGTATCCCACCCTCCTTTTGGAGGATTTTTACTCCATTGCATTAGTAGGATTGACAAATTTCCATATCATTGCTAACATAAATCCTTCTTTCTTCACATTTATCCCTCCCTGATCGATGACCTATGTCCCTTGGCTGCCAGGATAGTGTGGTCCTTTTCTTCCCATAATCTATATCCTTATTGATCTCAGCCGCAAAGACGTATGAACCCCTTACCTTTCCTATTAGTGCTAGTCTATTGTATAATTGAACACTTAAATGTGATTCTTGAAGTATCCATTAACAGAATTTGACTATGTTTCATGGAAGGAAAGCTACCAGGCTCAAGCTTCATCTCTAGTGCAAAGCATGAAGATTATCTAACTATTAGTGGGGGAAAAAATCAGCTATTTTTTCATCCTTCGAGCAAAAGACAGTTATTTATTTATTCTTGTGATCATCATGAAAAATACTGGTGCTGAAATTGGTTATTTCCTTAGGCTGCAAAGTGCAGATCCATTAAGATCATAACTAATGTTCTGCATCAGCATCTAATTCGGATGCTTTTAATAACTCAGGAGCTGTGTCAAAGGGACCAGCTGGACTTCGAAAGAAACAAACTTCACTAATGTACCGGGTGTTCATGTCATCATGAATGCATTAACCAAACCCAAGCCTTGTCGAACGTGTTGAAGGTTTTTCTTACTAAAATACAATTTACTAGCTTTTCAGTAAAAAGATTAACCATATAAAAATATAAAATCTTTGCAAAGTTATATTCTGTTACACGTTTAGTATATTCATCCATAATTGATTTCCATTGTTTTCAAAAACAGAGCCATACTTGGCTGGACATGAGATTCACCCATTAATGAGATATTTGCAAGGATATATTATTTTTCACATTTAGTCTATTCATCCATAGTTGATTTCCAATTTTCTCCAAAACAGGGCCATACTTGGTTGGACATGAGATTTACCCATTAATGAGATATATAAAAATCTGCTTGAAATGGAAGCGTTGGTTTTAATTTTTCATTTGTCCCAACATCGCTCATTTGATCCCACCCACCCACACTAGCATCCCTTAATAATCCATTTTAATGGAGTCTGATCGTGAGTGGTAGGAGTAGACATTATCTATCATTTGCTTTCATGCGTGGTCACCTCATTGAGAAAGCCATCCAAAACTCTCCCTTCCCTGTACTCATAAACTTTGAGAAGGTAGATTTTTTATGTGGATATGATGTTCTTAATTTTTTTCGCCAGTAATTGACCATAATTTGTATGTGTGCTCTTCTTTCATTGAAAAACTATTCAAAATTCTCCTTTCATTTTGTCCACCACATTATCCTTCTGTTACTGGAGCAACAAAGAGAAAACAATATTATTGCTGAATTCAAATAGGAAATTATAACTCAGCACAACATAAAATCTCAATTTGCAACAAACAATAACACAAACTCAACTAGGCTTGGATCTAGAGGGGTGATGGTGGTCGGCGAGGGCTTGGAAGGTGGGGGGCAGTGGACGAGGTGGTTGGCTAGTAGAAAAGAACAAGGCAGTGGTTTCCAATGGTTCGTGTTACAAGAAAGCAGGGGGAGTCGATGCGGAAGGGCTGTCCAGAGCGGCGGTAACAAAGTTGCGGCCAGTCCAGAATAGTAGCAGTAATGAGCGTCCAGGTTGGGGTGCTGACAATAAGGTGGGTTGGGGCACTGAAGGTTCTAGAAGATCAACAAGTGGGAATGGGTATTGCCACAGGTTCTGGAGTGGCACCATGGTGGAAGGGGAGGAGCAGAGGCTCAGAAGGCCAGAAAGGCAGAAACAACTCCTTGCTGTTCTGGATGGCTATAATAAGTAAAAAAGTAGATGGCTGTCACGACCTACCCTGGGGCTTGGAATTATACAAGACGAGAATGAACGGTCAGACGATGAAAATCAATTCTCTTTTATTCTATTTTTATCGGGCTCAGAAGGCCAGAAAGGCAGAGACAACTCCTTGCTGTTCTGGATGGCTGTAATAAGTAAAAAAGTAGATGGTTGTCACGACCTACCCTGGGGCTTGGAATTATACAAGACGAGAATGAACGGTCAGACGATGAAAATCAATTCTCTTTTATTCTATTTTTATCACTAATAGTTTAATATTCAAATATTCATGAAGTAATTTGATTAACAAGTAGAAATTTTTATATTTTTGGTTGCTGTTCTCGCCTCCTATACACATTTGCTCAACTTTAATTCATCTTGTTCAAATGCTTAAATCCTAAAAAATAATTAAAACAATATAATGATTTATCTAAAGATAATCTCAAAGTAATTACACTTCTAAACTACAGTAACCAAGAGAAAATAAATCAATGCTAGTTCATATTTTTATAAGAAAACTTATATATATGTGAATACATGTATCGATGACACCGATACACATTTATTTTAAATTTGACTTTATAATCTTTTCATACACATCAGTCTCTTCGAGAATCACCGTCAACAAACCTAACACCCATTTGGTCGATATTATTCCATCAGCAAAGCGATATTATTCCATCAACAAAGCGATTAACAATCTAAACATTTCAATTGTTTATGGTTGAAAGACCTGTACATGCCCCTAGTCAATTTTATCCCATCAACACAACTTTTAGTTATGTAAACATCACAATTAACTACGGAAGTAAGCTTTGTCTACTTGTCCCTGATTGATATTATCCCACCAACACAGCGGTTAGTGATCTAATCATCATAATTGTCTGAGGTGGTAGAAAAACTATGTGCGCGGATATACAGACATCCCCTGTCTGTTCCATTCTGGGTGAACACCTCTGAACATGCACATACAAATATTTATATATAAACTATTTCATTCTTCATAACATGCATTTTTATGAAACATCTCCATTCATCTATTAACAGACACACTTACTCTGCCGTGCATTTGTTCATCATATATATCTCTCATATCATGCATACCTCTTATCTCATGAATAACTCTTATATCATACATATCTTCTTTATCATATATATCATGCATCTGATGCATATCTTGTATATCTTTTTTGTCATGCATATATTTTATATCCAAGAATATGAAGGTTCTAACTAAACCAGAGCATCTATGGAGTCAAACATGCATTTTGAAATAAAGAAAATTACTGATATTTAAAAATATTACTTTCCTCAGTTGTTATGCTTGATTCTCAATCTTCGGTAACTAGTTGGGCGTTATGATAACCTTTATGTTGATTCTCAATCATTAACAACCTATAAACCTTAATATCAAACTTTAAGATTTAAGAGGTTTTCATCAATAAAATTAATTTTCTTAAGTTAGTATAAGATTAATTTACCTAAAATTTATGGAGACGCCGTACGATTAATTTCCACACGTTCGCCTTGTGCTCGTTGCCTCGGTTAAATAACCGGGAATTTATAAATATCTTAAGATTTCATAATGTCTTGACTCATAAAGTAATTTAACAAAAAACATAGCTGATTAGTTTAAACGTACCTTAAATGACTTTCAGGTCAACCTGCCCTTCCTTGAAGTTGCTAAATCATCTTTCCCCTTTTCCTATCTTTTGCTTATTCCTTCCTTAACCTTGCTGATTTCATGCTAGAAGACCTTATAGAAACCCACAAACCAACTTGATAAGATCTCGTCTTGGCTACGACGAGCGAAAACTAAAAAGATGGACAATTAGTGACAATTCTCAAATTGAAATTGTGGGGAAGAAAATGAATGTGTAGAGTATCGTTAAAGTGAATTTCATCCTTTCAATTTCATCCCCAGTCTGAACAGAGAGCTGTAGCTTTCGGCGGGCTACTTGACTATTGCAGATTGCGACCCTGTGGGTCATGACTATGCTATAGTGTCACGATCGCAGCTCCTCTCGGGAGCCTTCTGTTGAGTGCGATCGAACAAGGAGGGGGAGGAAGAAATACGAAACTTCTGGATAGAGGATCTCGCCTTTTCGACTCTATAAAAGGTAAATATAACGGGGTAGTCGGTCGGGTATGTTGATCTCATTTTTGATGAGGGCTAAATTTCTCTCCTCGAGCTTAGGATCTAGCCGTAAGACTTTCCTATTGACTATCCTAAAAGAGCAGTGATGGGACCCACCTCCCTTAGAAACTCAAAACACTTTTTGATCTCTTGTGGAGTTTCACATGGGTGGTCTCAAGTCCTCAACTCTGTGTTGAGATGACTAGGACCAACACGCTGAAGTTCAAAAAAGAGTTTCTATAGGGTTATGAGGCCATAGGGAGACCCCGAGTGGCTAGACCATTCATACTCCCATACCTCATCGTAGGCACACCACTAGAATTCACACACACACACACTTAATATTAAACACACATTCACTTTAGAAACTCAAAACACTTTTTGATCTTTTGTGGAGTCTCACATGGGGGGTCTCAAGTCCTCAACTATTGGTTGAGATGACTAGGATCAACAAATTGAAGCTCAAAAATGAGTTTCTATTGGGTTATGAGGCCATAGGGAGACCCTGAGTGACTAGACCATTTATACCCCCATATCTCACCCTAGGCATACCACTAGAATTTACACACACACACACACTTAATATTAAACACACATTCACACCACTATACACTTCTTTACACTCACACTACCTCATACCACCATACACACC